GTTGGTCATGGGGTGTCTGGATTGTGGTGACAGCAGGTGGCGTTCTGGGGTGTTTGTAGCTACTTTTTGTCCTCATCCCCATTTGTCCCCTTTCCCACACGGAAGCTCCCCGGGGGCTCCCGGGCTTCCTGTCGCCATGGGGCTTGGCCACAGGTGGCGCAGCTCTGTGTGTCCTGGTTGGAAGAAGCATGTGCCCAGCCCTGGGCCGGGGCGGGCAGTATTTGTGGCTCACGGCCCCCCCTCTGCCGGCAGGTCTGCACCCTGACGGACCTCCAGCCGTACATGCGGCAGTTTGTGGCCCACCTGCAGGAGACCAGCTCCCTGAGGGATGCCGTCGTCATCGAGCAGGTCTGGGCACTGCCCCGCAGGGCTGGGCACATGCTCCCAACGGCGGGTCCTCACTTGGGGCGTTGCTGGGGTCATCACCAGACAGACTGTTGGCTCTGGGCGGGGGAGGGGGTAGTGAGCTGTCGTGGGGCTGCGATGAGCCGTGTGCCTTGGTGGAATCCCCACCACGTCCCACGCTGAGCTGTGCCACGCTCTGACAGTTGCCATGTTCCGGCAGCTGCTTGCATTTGACCGCATGGCCTCTCTCCGCTCTACAGTGGCTTCATTCATGATTTGCTAAACACCTTCTGTGTCAGTGTGGAGCTTGAGGCCAAAGGAAGCGTGTCTCCCTCCTTTAGGAGGACAGGCATGTTTGAGCTGCGCCCGCTGGGCTGACTTCTCTGTGCTGGGTCTGCTCACGTGGCTCTGTGGCTCTTTGCAGATGCCTCTTTAGCCCTTGCTCCACTTATGGGACAGTCACGTCCACTGGGTGAGGCTCACAGACCTTTGGGCAAATTTCCTTTGCTCCCAGGGTGGGGATGAGCAGGGCGTGGGCTTCTGGGACCCAGACCCATTGCTGTCTGGGCTGCGGCAGCATGTGTGGGTCTGAGCCGAGTGGATACACAGTGGCCCAGAGGGTATGTTCTTTGTCACACACTGTGCCTAAGGCCCTCTGTGTCTGCAGAGACTCGGCCTGGCCAGCCCATGGTGGCCCTACATTCCAGCCTAGCCCTGCACTTCATCACAAAAACTGACCCCAAAAGGGACTTGGGGTCTTTCTTGGCCACGGTCCTACCTGTCTCTGCGCCCACCGCTCACTCCCGTCTCCCGTCTGCTTTCCCAGAGCTCCTCCCTGAATGAGGCCAGCAGTGGCCTCTTCGACGTCTTCCTACGCTTCTTGTGCAACCACGTCGTGAGGATCGGGGGCAAGTGAGTCGTGATGCATGGGTGCCGTTGCTGGTGGCGGGCGGGCGGGTTGGGCTTCTGCCCACCTCCCTCCTTTCTGTTTCCTGCTGCCCTTCTCCAGGGGGCCTCTGGGGTCTCCTTTTCTGGCCCCCCCCCGCCCCCTCTGGCTCCCGTGCTGGAGGCTTCCGAGGCCCCAGGAACATGGCTTGGCTGGCAGCTGCCGGTGCAGAGCAGAGGCCACGAGAGGCCTGGGAATGGCAGGCCGGGTGTGGACTTGCCCCTGTGCTGAGGACGAGGGGCCTGGGGCACGTCTGGGTCAGGTGTGCGGCTGAGCATTTGAGCCTGCGGCTTGTCAGCTCCAAGTTGCCAGAGCCGAAAACGTGACTCTCACGCTCTTGTATCCCTCAGGTACACGAGGATTTTATCTGGTTCTTATTTGTGTCCCTGTCACGTGACCCTGCAAGGGCACGGGCTCTCCTCTTTAAGACTAGACTTCCCATCTGGAAAGTGGGGGCTTGACCGTGTAGTTTGCTCCTCTTGGGTGCCAGTGGGCAGGCGGCCTGGGAGAGCTGCCATCACACAGCCTCTGTGCCCAGGGCCTCAGCACGTCCCCTGGATTTTAAGTAAAACCACGCACCTCCCAGCAGGCATCTGCCTGTGGCCACACGTGCCCGGGGAGAGCAGAGGCCTGGAGGAATTGCCCGCACAGTCAGGCTGGACTGCGGAGGCCCCTCTCTGGGATCATCTCCAGCAGACACACAGCCTCAGAAGCATTTATTCAAAAATATAACTGTTAATTGTTGCATTATAAGTAATCACTCATGTTATTATAAGCAATTATAATATTTATTAAAGTATAGTTAGAAATATTAAAAAACAGATTGCAGATGGCAGCAGAGGGAATTTTGACCAAGGGACATGTGTGCCCGTGTGTAAGTGGCACCCAGGCCACAGAAGCCACTGGCCACGTGTTACAAGTAAAATTTCAATGCTGCAAAAGAAATTGCTCTGGAAGATAAGTCCTCTCAACAAGGCAGTTTACTTCCTCGTAAGGTGCGGTGCACAGATGGAGAAGAGTGACCGCATGTTTGGACAGGGGAGGAAAAGGGGTATTTATCCCTGACCGGGGTCGCCCCTGCTGCTGTGCTGTTCCCCTGTTGGCTAGGTTAGACTGCACAGGCTAGACTCATCCCGATTGGCTGTTTTAAAGAGAGCAGGGGTCCGAGCTGGAGTGGCAGGGTGGGTGGTTTGGTGGGAAGGACAGTTACAGGCAGGTCAGAGCAGGCGACCGAAGCAGGTGACCCGGATGAGTCAGGATGGAGCCAGGGGCCGGGGGAACAGATGTGAACGACTGATTAGAACTGGTGGAGAAAGTTGTTTCCTGGAACTACACGGAAGTTAAACTTTGCAATTGAGAATTAAAGAGTAAGAGAGGTGGACATACTGACGTACTGATTCTTGAAAGAGAAACTTGGGGTTCACTGTATCTAACTTAAGTTACTCCCCACAGCGGCCGCCACAGGACTCCTTTCTGGCTGTGAATTTTACTAAGATGGACCGAGTCACATGCTGTCCGTGTGTGGCGGGGGAATGTGAGGCGTGACTGTCTGCTCGTGCCCTGACGGACAAGAGGCGGCTGTGTCTGTCCCGTCCCTAGGACACAGACAGGCCCGAAACTCACATCCCCATTGTGGTCCAGTTTGCCCTCTGAACAAAAACATCTTCAAAACGTGTTGCCCCAAAAACCAAGAACAGAGAGTTTCCCATCCTGCCCGCCCACAGGGGCATATCCGCGTGCGTCGCCGCGCTGGGCTGGCCGGACTCCTAGAGTTGGTGCCTCGTGTGAAAAGCACCGCCCTCCCGCCCATCAGTGTGATGTCTGCACCGATGAGGAAGGCCTCTTTTTTTTTTCTTTTTGAGACGGAGTGTTGTCTGCCCAGGCTGGAGGGCAATGTCATGATCTCAGCTCACTAACCCCTGCCTCCCAGGTCCCAGCAATTCTCCCGCCTCAGCCTCCCAAGTAGCTAAGGTTACAGGCACCTGCCACCATGCCTAGCTAATTTTCATATTTTTAGTAGACTCAGGGTTTCGCCATGTTGGCTAGGCTGGTCTCAATCTGACTTCAGGTGATCCACCCACCTTGACCTCCCAAAGTGCTGGGATTGCAGGTGTGAGCCACTGCGCCTGCCCAGAAAGCCTGTTTTTAAGGTGACCACATACAGCGCTCCTTGAAAATAACGGGTCTTGTCTCTGCAGGAGGCCTCAGTGTCTCTTAGCAACAGGAGTGGGCGTCCTTCGAGCTCCAAGGACAGCCGAGGGTCGTGTGGCAGGTGTGTCTCCCGTGTGCACCTTCACGCTCCGAGGGCCTCTTCTGCTCTGTTTGTCAGAAAACGCACCCCTGGCGTCCTTGTTTGTCTGCAAGTGTGTTTCGTTGGTCATTGTAGAACTGGGGAAGGTTGTCTCCATCTGCACACAGCTGCTCAGTAGGGCTGTCGGTCTCTCACTGTGGATACAGTCCTTGAAAAGACATGAGGCCAGGTGAGCATTCCTTCCAGGTCAAGTGTCTGTTCTGTAAATAAGATGTAAACCACTTCACGAAAGAAAGCCCTGATGCACCAGAACAAGGATGTGGTCACACCGATGGCTGTGTCTGCTTCAAACCATCCCAGTTCACAGCGAGAGACTGGGGCGCGGGGACTGTGTGTGTGTCTTCGGTGCCTGCCAGCTGAATGGTAGACACGTTGTTGGTGTGTGGGGCGTTCTCTGTGTGAGTGCGTGTCTGCGTGTTGCTCTGTGTGAGTCCAGCACCCCCCTTGCCCGACTCTGGCCTGTGTCTCCCCCACCAGGTCCTACGTCCAGTGTCAGGGGATCCCGCAGGGCTCCATCCTGTCCACACTGCTCTGCAGCCTGTGCTACGGCGACATGGAGAACAAGTTGTTTGCCGGGATTCGGCAGGACGGGTGAGGACGGGGCAGGACGGTGGGGACGGGGCGGGACGGGACGGGTGAGGATTTGGCGGGCAGGACAGGTGAGGCCTCCTCTTTCCTGGGGGCTTGGGTGATGGTTGATTTGCTTTCGGGGCATTCAGTGTTAATGTTTCTGGCGCTCTGGAGGCCATGACTGTTCCATCTTGAGGCACCAGGCAAGGTTGCAGCCCCTCTTGGTGGGAAGCCGCCGGAGAGGGGCAGCGCAGGCGTCCTCTGTGGGCCCCACGTGGACTCTGTCCAGCAGCCGTGTCTGCAGGCCTCGGCAGGTAGGAGGGCCACTGCCCTGTGTGACGAGCTTGTGAACTCAACACCCAGGAAGCACACCAGCTTCCATGACATCCACTTGGGTTCCTTGAGGTCCTCAGGGAGATGGGTCTGGTGCAGCCTGAGGCCCCAGGTCACCCGGCAAGCCCTTGACAGGTGGCCTGGACTGGGTGTGTCTTCAGCCCATTGCCCATCCCACTCTCATGGGGTCTACACCCAAGGACGTCTCACTTCTAAATATTGGGCCAACCTAATGTGGTTCGGCTCAGCTGCTCTTGTGGATAGCAGTGACTTTTTTAGTGAAAATAGGCAGACAGTTAGTGAAGGATGCGTCGGGAAGCCTGCAGCCACAGGGCCATTTCTCTTGAAGTCTGGGTTTTTCTTGTGCATCTTTTAAAGCTCTGGTTCCAATCATAGCACGTACGGTGGATCAAGGTTCTTTTTCATTAAGATTCAAGTTCTGGGTTGAAATAAGTTTATGTCAAAGAAACAAAAATGTCTGGTATGCACAGCTTGCTCTGGGACCCGGAGGGAAGTGTCCTCCAGCTGACGGCACACTGGTCAGCCCTCTGCGACAGGACGCTTGGGTCCACGGCCGCGGGCGCCAGGCTTGGGCTCGAGGGTGACTCTGATTTGCACACGGTGCACGTGCCCAGCTTCCTGTGGACAGGGTCTGGGCCTCGGGTGACACTTGAGAACCACAGCTGTCACGCTGGTAGAGGGCACCACGCAGCTCAGAAGGGGCGAGGTTCCCAGCCCAGCACTCTTACCGCTTCAGCTGCTTTTCCCTGAGTCAGAACTGGGGTCGCACCTGACGGCCGCCGTTCATCCTCAGCTGGTGCTGAGCCGCACGAACACCGTGTGCTCGTCATAAGTAAGGAATCGCCTTACGGTTAACTGGAGAGCACGTCTGTTGGAAGGAATTTAAGTTTTTTATTGAAGTGCTTTGGAGAGTGTCACTTTATTTTGCCTGAGTAGGTTGTTTACGCTCAGTTCCTCACGGACGGATAGTACACACGAGGTGTGAAATTAACCTTGCCCGTGCGTTTCCCTTGTTTTAGGCTGCTCCTGCGTTTGGTGGATGACTTCTTGTTGGTGACACCTCACCTCAGCCACGCAAAAGCCTTCCTCAGGTGAGGCCCGCATCGCACATCCCTGTGGACCTCTGCGGCCCGTGGCCTTTGCAGAGCCGAGCCCCCGCCATGTCCTGCCCCTGGCACTGCAGCGTGGTTTCTGCCGAGTCCTCTCTTTGCCAGTGCTGGATCCACAAGAGCAGAGGTGCTTGGCCGCATACCCACGCCTGGGGACGCAGGGCCACCTTCGGGAGAGAGCAGGCCCCGGTCCTGCGGAGGTGCACGCGGGTTACGCACACACTGAGCGCAGGTGGTGCTGGCTCCTGCCGCTCTTTGGAAAGTCTTCAAGCATGGCGGTTCCTGGGGCCCCCGTGAGACCCCCAGGTCTGTGCAGGGGAGTGCGCCCGAGCCTGTGGGGAGCAGGACCTGCCGAGGAGCTTGCCCGCCGAGTTGGCTGCAGTCATGTTTCCTCGTGGGGTGGTTTGGGATCAGCGACAAATGCAGATTTGTGGTGCTGTCCTGAAGCGTGGAGATGGCTGGGGTGGGTCTCAGAGTTGACTTTGTGGCTCAAACTAAAATCAGGCACAGGAAGCCTGGCCTTGGCACAGGGATTGTCGAGCGTGGTCTCCCTCGACGGCGCCACCGCCCCCCGAGTGCTGTTCTGGGTGGGGGGACGCGCCCCGCGCTCTTCAGCACCATCAGTACCGCGGCCCAGAGCACAGCAGGCAGCACACAGTGAAATCACAGCAGGCGACGCACATTTAAATCCACTAAGATTCACTCGGGACCAACTGAGGGCTTAGGAGTGCTGAGGCCAGCAGATGGGGACGCTGCTTCTCTTGTGGCAAGCTCCTGAGGGTACAGGCCAGGGAGGTGGCTCAGCATGTCTGGTTGGGGTCCCACCCAGGGCAGGACCCCCAGGAGAGGAGTCAGCAAGCATGGAACAGGCAGGGGTGGCTGCAGGGAGCTGGGAAGGCACCAGGGGACTGAGCAGCTGGCTGAGGTCCCAGGTCCAGGCCACAGGAAGGGCAGTGGGACACCCAGGCCCAGAGCAGAGGGTGCAGGAAGGACAGGGGATCCCCAGAGCCAAAGGAGCAGCCACAGGAAGGTCAAGAGGATCCCCAGGGCCAGAGCAGAGGCTGCAGGAAGGGCAGGGGACGCCCGGGGCCAGGGCAGAGGCCGCAGGAAGGGCAGGGGACGCCCGGGGCCAGGGCAGAGGCCGCAGGAAGGGCAGGGGACGCTCGGGGCCAGGGCAGAGGCCGCAGGAAGGGCAGGGGACGCCCGGGGCCAGAGCAGAGGCTGCTGGGCACGGGGCGGCTCCCTGAGATGGGTGGGCGAGGCTCATGACCCAGTGAGGGAACCTTCTTGACGTGAAGCTGGTGATTGGTGTTGCCCAGCTCACAGCCCAGCTGGGTCCCCTGCCTGGGCAGGACCTCAGAACCCTCCCCTATGCGTCTAAAGCACAGCAGATGCCTTCAGGGCACCCAGGAGAACAGCAGAGTCTCGGAGGAGGAGTGACGCGGTGGGGGGCGGCGGGGTCGCTGGGGATGAGTGACGCGGTAGGAGTTTCTTGTTCAGATCTTAGTCTACCCCAGACTGCAGATGAGTCTTTATGACAGGACGGTGGCCTTGCCATGGGGACACGTGAGATGGTCCATCACAGAGGCCCCTGGGGCTGCACCTGCCGTCTGAGTCCTGGCTGTCCTGGGTCCAGGCCAGGTTCCTGCGTGCACTCACCTACCTGTCCTGCACAGGAGACAGGGCAAACACCCGGAAGTCCGGGGCAGGACTGGGTCCGGGCTCCTCAGAGCTTCTGCCAGGCCCAGCACCCCACTCCCCAGCACCGATTCTCCGGGGTTTTCACAAGGGCGTCAGGGCCCCTCCTGGGTGACGTTGCCCCTCTGCCTTAGGACCCTTGTTCAAGGTATCCCTGAGTATGGCTGTGTGGTGAACTTGCGGAAGACGGTGGTGAACTTCCCCGTGGACGATGAGGCCTTGGGCAGCGCAGTGTTTGTCCAGCTCCCAGCCCATGGCCTGTTCCCCTGGTGCGGCCTGCTGCTGGACACCCGGACCCTGGAGGTGCAGAGTGACTTCTCTAGGTGAGCGTGCCTGGCTAGGGGCAGAGCCTGTGCCCGGCGGGGCAGATGGTGCTGCAGGGTGGTCCCATCTACCCCTGCTTCCATGTGGGGCAGGCACCTGCCAAACCCAAAGGGTCAGGGGCCACAGGGTGCCCCTCCTCCAATCCAGGGCTGAGCAGAAATGTGTCTTTTCTGTGGGAGTGAGGGTGCTCACAAGGGGAGCCGTTTTCTGTGCTGTTTTGGTGTAAGGAGATTGTGCACCAGCCCCAGGAGTGCTGTGTCCTCCGAGAGCAGTCTGGATCCAAGCCCAGAGCTAGTGAGGCCCTGTCAGGTGTGAGTCTCTCCACCATAAGGACACACACTCCGAGGCTCATTCACAGCCCACGGGATGCCATGAGTTCATGATCATGTGTGACACATAGGGGCGGGGCTGTTGTGTTTGGGGGTCTCTGTACAAAATGCTGGGGTTCCATTTTCCTTGAGCCCAAGAGCTCATGGCCCCACCTCAAACGCAGACACAAATGGACTGAAGTTGAACATAGATACAGAAATCTGTGCTGTTTGTTTTATGAGTAAAAAGAATCAACATTCCCAGCGGGGCACAGTGGCTCACGCCTATAATCCCAGCACTTTGGGAGGCTGAGGCAGTTGGATCACTTGAGGCCAGGAGTTTGAGACCAGCCTGGCCAACATCTCTACTGAAAAATAAAGTTAGCTGGATGGGGTGGCACACAATGTAGTCCCAGCTGTGCGGGAGGCTGAGGCAGGAGAATCACTTGAATCTGAGAGGGAGAGGGTGCAGTGAACCGAGATCACCCCACTGCACTTTGGCCTGAGGCAGCAGAGTGAGACTGTCTTAAACCAAAAAGTATCAGCATTCCAAACCCGTGGACAGGTGTTTTCTTTATTCTGTTCTCTGTCCTTCAATAAAATTCACTGGTGCTGGGTTAGAGGCCGGAAATGGGGCCACCTTCCTTTAAAAGGCACAGCTTCATGGGAAGAGAAATAAGAAGTAGGTATTTGCTAAACCAGTGGTTTAAACTGGGTTCCAGTCATTCTGAGTTCAACAGTCTAGGTCTGGACTTTGCCTGTTTCCAGAATGCTCCCTGGGGTTTGCTTCATGGGGAGACAGCAGGTACAGACATCCCTTGCGATGCGGGAACGGCAGGTGTAGGCACCCTTGTGCATGGTGCCCAGCACATCCCTCCTGCAGCCCCCTCCCCACCAGGGCGCCAGTCCCCTGTGCCACCCAGAGTCCCTGCCTCCCTCTCCTGACCTCACCTGATTCTGGCCTCCACTGGCTTTGTCTGGGTGATTTCCAGATTTCCTGGGCTCCCAGCACCTCCACGCCTCTCCCAGGCACCTCTGCAATGCTGGTCATACCAGTCAGCCATGAACCATCCACTGTTTATTTTGCTTCCCATGAAACTGGCATTTTTAAGGACAGGCACTCCTGGTTCTAGCCTCTGGCAAATATCAATGAATGTTATTGAAGGACAAAGGATGGATGAATGAATCAGGAAAATGAGTTCTCTCTGAACACACTGATAAAGCCACAGACACTGGTACAAGACAGGTGGGCATCAGGGAATCAGATGTGGGTTCAACACCAGAATATTCCATGCTCCCAAAGGCCGCTTGGTCAGTGTGCCTGCTTGCAGTTGTGGCCCTAAAAGCTCAGCAGTGGAGACAGTGGTTCAACGCATTCAGGGGGAACTCAGATCCTCTGTGTCTGAAGCATACAGCCAAGGCTTGAAGGACATCTGGGAGAAGAAAACAGGAAAAATGATTGAGAAAAGTGAAAAAGGAAGAGTGGTAAGATGGAAATTTCTTGTCCAGATTTTCGTCTCCCAAACCACAGCTCAGGCTACAGAATGTGTGAGAATTAATGGACAGAACTATCTCTCATAAATGTGTGTTAACGTGGAGTGTGGTACAGCGGATGGAAAAGAGAATGTGTGTTTAATTCTTTTGTGTGAGAAAACTGGAAGAAAGTAAGTTCCGTCTTTACAACGTATACCAGAGCAGATTCTAGGTAGGAGAGAAGCTACGTGCAAACAACACTAGCAATGGAAACAAAAGACTCAAAGGAAAGGGAGTTGAAGTTTCCCTGATTGGGTGCTGGGGAAGGACACACAGGGAGGCAGATCAAATCAGTGAGGAAACAGGCATTGCTTACCCTGCAGAGAAACTTCACTTGCCTGAGCCACAGTGAAAGTGGCCATTCCCTGGAGCATCTGTGTGGGTGACTGATTTCAGGGACCCTGCAAGGTGCTGCACGTTCATCCTCACACTTTGTTCTCCCAATGACCTGAGACGTAGAGGACAGACTTCAGGGGAGCGACCTGCCCTCAGGCACCCCGCTGGCAAGGGGTGCACATGATTGCAGCCTGGCCTGCTCCGGGGTCTCATTCTGCCTGAGGACCCCACACAGGTGAGGCCCATAGGCTCACGGCAGGCCAGAGCCCAACGTCGTGTTGGGGGCGGCTGTGGAAGAAGAAACAGACATCTGATGCACACTTGGGAAGGTTCTTCCACCAGCGTCAAAGAAGTGTGTGTGAACCCGGCAGCAAGACCTGTTCCGCATGCTGGCTCCTTTCCTGGGCTTGCCGAGAGCCAGCGTCGGGGTGAGGCAAGCTGGAAGACTTTTCTGGAAAGCAGATTGTTTGCGTGGAAGTCCTTACAATGTCCTCCTGTGTTTTCCCGGTAATTCCATTTCTGAAGTGACCAGACGTCGTCTTGGGTCTTACTTGCCATTTCCAGTGCTCCAGGTGGCAGGACTTGCCACAGCAAGTTACAAAACTGCCCCGGTACAGGGCTCAGCAGGTGTCACGTATCGCAAACCTTAGTCTGCCGTTAAACGTGTTTTTGAAGAATGCTTAATGGCACGAAACCTTTATTTCAGTGTAAGAGTGTTCAGAGCTGGATGTGAAGGAACATACCCAGGGAGCCTGCTGCAGATGCCACGTGTTTGTCTTTGGACACGACACATGGGAGTGAGCGGTGGCGAGGCCGTAGGGGACACCAGTGGGATGCGTGCATCCCGTCCCTCTGGAGACACCCTGCATGTGCCACGTGCACTTCCTGGAGCCCTGTGTATGTTGCTGCCTGGTTCTTCCACCCCAGAGACTCAAGCACAGCGAGATTCCCCATGCCTGACTCAGTGTTCTCCCATGAAGGTGCTGAGTCATACCTGAGGGACACCCGGGAGCCGGGGTTCCACGATTTTTTATGTGTTTTTGGCTGGATCATGTGTAGATCTCATGAGGGCAGATAAGGAATGCACACACATGGCCATGCGAGGCTTGGATACACTCAGCACCACTAACCAGGTCCTGGTGGTTTGGTTGTGCAGGGTCCAGATGGGGGGTGTAGCACGTTGCGTCTGTGGAGTGGGCACCCAGCCCCCTTGGGCTGCAGTGCACGCCTCAGGCAGGACAAGGAGCAGGAGGAGGAAGGGAGGCTCTTCCCGGCAAACTTTGCGGGGGGGGGGGCGTGGTGTGGGGGCGAGACCTGAGTCTGACGTCCCACTTTGTCTCAGCTACGCCCGGACCTCCATCAGAGCCAGTCTCACCTTCAACCGCAGCTTCAAGGCCGGGAGGAGCATGCGTCGCAAACTATTTGGGGTCTTGCGGCTGAAGTGTCACAGCCTCTTTCTGGATTTGCAGGTGAGCAGGCTGACAGCACAGAGTTCAGAGTTCAGGAGGCGTGTGTGTTACTGTGTGCACAAGTGTATGCACATGCGTGTGGCGTGCCTGCAAGTCTGAAGGTGAAGGTGTGGCTGCACGAGTGCACATGTGCACCTGAGCGTGTGTACATGAATGCATGGCAACGTGTGCGCAGGTGTGCAAGGGTGCAGGTGTGAGCATGCACATGTGGATACGTACCTGATGTGCGTGTGCATACATGTAGTGTCCCTGCAAGTCTGAAGGTGAAGGTGTGGCTGCACATATGAGTGCACATATGCATGTGTGTGTGTACATGAATGCATGGCGGCATGTGCACAGGTGTGCAAGGCTGCAGGTGTCAATGTGCACACGCAAATGCATACCTGACGTGCATGTGCAGTCATGCGTGCATTCGTGTGAGGTGCATGTGTGCATGTGGGTGTGCAGTAGCAGGCATGCACATATGTGTATCCAGGGCCCCTCATGTTCGCCCTGCTTGGTCCTCAGCACCACCGCCCCTCCTGAGACAGGGTCCCAGGTCTTGGGCTGAGGCTCTGAAGCTGCGGCCCTGAGGGCATGGTCCCATCTGGGCATTTGCATCCACCCCCTCCCTCCTGGTTCCTTCCCATCCTGGCCGATGTCCTGGCCGATCCTCGGGCAGGCAGACACCAGAGTTCTGATCACGCCCCCAGTCCCCCCCTGCGCCTCCCCACTCAGCATGGTTCACGGCTGCCTGGTGAGAGCCAGGCCGGATTTCACTGGGAAGAGGGATGGTTTCTTATCAAAATGATCCCCTTTTTTATTCCGTTTGAATGGATGATAAAGCAGGAAGTAAGAACTTAAAATCCCAGAGAGGTTTCTGCCCTTTCTCGCTCTTTCTTGGTGACTGTAGGTGAACAGCCTCCAGACGGTGTACACCAATGTCTACAAGACCTTCCTGCTGCAGGCTTACAGGTGAGCCACCACCAGGGCGGCGCGGGCCCAACCTCCAGGGACCCTCCCCGCCCTGCTCACCTCTGATCAGTGGCTTCACCTGGGAACTCCTGGGTTTTAGGGGTAAGGAGTGTCACGTTTTCAGCAGCGCTGCCCCCAGCGTGGTTCTGTGTCTGCATGGCTTTTTGTGAAGTGCCCATTCGGTCTCCAGGTAGCGGTAGGAGCTGATGTGGCCCCAGGTGTCCCTCCTGTGCCTGTGCACTGCCCATGGGACTCGTAGAGGCCATCCTAGGCAGGAGGGGTGTCGGGTAAAGAGATGTTGAAGGGGGTGTCTTAGAGGAGGCCAGGAAGGTGTCTGAACAGTAGGTGGGAGATCAGAGGCTGGAGGCTTTAGGGTGTCAGAGGGCAGAGGCCGAGATGGGTGCAGATGAGGGTCGCCGGTCCCGCCCCAGGAAGGTGCAGCAGAGCGCGGCTCCCCACACAGCCCGGCCAGCTCCTGTGCTCTGGGCATGGCTGGTCCAGGCCCCCCACCAAGAATCAATGACTTTATCACAGAGGGAAGGGCCAATGTGTGGAGGCCACAGGGCCAGCTTCTGCCTGGAGTCAGGGCAGGTGGCAGGAGCCTCTGGGCAGCACCAAAGGGCAGTCAGGCACCACAGGCCTCCTGAGCCACTGGGAGCCGACTGCCAGGATGCCAAAGCCCCACCCCGTGAGGCCCCTCTCCTGGCCGCCCCTCCTCCCCCGGCCACTCCTCCTCTCTCAGGCTGCCTTGTTTCTGCCTTCTCTCTCCTCTTGGGATCCTCCCTTGTCTGCTTCTCCCGGGCAGGTGCCTGGGCCCTCATGCAGGCTGCCTGACTCCATTCTGGAAACTCTCGGAGTATCCATGTCAGTGTGTTGGATACAGGCGCCACTGAGGACTGCAGACATCTGGCCCTTTGATGGACCCCACGGTCCAGCTGGCGTGCTTGGGGCCTCCTTGGGCTGTGAGGAAGTCAGAGGATGCTTCCCAGGCATGCGCCATGTGGCCTTCTGGGCCAGCCCTTGGGTCTCTGGGAGCCACTGCCACCTGCTCCTCCTGTACTCAGCTTTGTCCTCATTTCCCCACCAGGGTCACTGGTCCAGGAGCTCCCGTGGAGGGACTGGCTCAGGGCAGGGATGCTGGGTTCTCCCACCCACGTGGGGCCTGGGGTAGTCACTTGATTAGGGCAGCCCTGAGAAGACCGAGGCGTGATGGGCTGTGGCCACTTCGAAACACAGAGAGTCAGGCACGTGGGAGGCCCAGGAACCCCGTTCCCTCGACGCAGGAGTGGGAGAACAGAGAGCTGGGCCCCGATTTCACAGCAGTCAGGCTGCAGCAGGCGAGGCCGTGGCAGTCCTGGTGGCACCACAGGCGGGTGACTCCAATCTGCTGGGCTCAGACTTCCCAGCCATAGTGGCTGCACCCCCACACGGGCGGGGGATGGATGCCTCAACCTCTAGCAGGCGGCTGTTTCTCCCTTTAGAAGAGAGCCCCTGGCCACGCAAGGCATTTCCCCTGCCTGTGCTGACCCCAGACCTCAGGCAAAAGCATTCTGGGCTGGCTTCTCTCGTTGCTACGTGGGGAGACTTCCCAGCTCAATAGTTACTGAGAGGCTGAGACCAGAGTGCTGGCTTGACTGGAATGATCTCAGGTTATTCCAGAAGGGGTTCAGGCAGTGAGACCAGGTACACAGGTGCCCTGATCACATGCACGCATGGGCACCTGTGCACAGATGCCCTGATCACACATATGAGCACCTGTGCACAGGTGCCCTGATCACACATGTATGAACACCTGTGCACGGGTGTCCTGATCACATGCACGTATGGGCACCCGTGCACAGATGCCCTGATCACACATATGAGCACCTGTGCACGGGTGTCCTGATCACACAGGTATGAACACCTGTGCATGGGTGTCCTGATCACATGCACGTATGAGCATCTGTGCACAGGTGTCCTGATCACACATGTATGAACACCTGTGCACGGGTATCCTGATCACACACACATATGCGCATCTGTGCACAGGTGTCCTGATCACACACATGTATGAGCTCGTGCACAGGCACCGTGATCACACATAAGACACCTTGCCTGGGTGCCCTGGTCACACGTACACATGAACATGTGCACATGCATGTATGAGCACATGTGCACTTGAACTGTCTCAGTGAGCAGGTCGATGCAGTCCTGCCCCAAAGTCCCAGGAAGCTGAGAGGCCAAAGAAGGAGCTGACAGGCCCGGTGCAGCGGCTCACACCTGTAGTCCCAACACTGGGAGGCCAAGGCGAGAGGGTGGCTTGAGACCAGCCTGGGCAACGTGGGAGGATCCCATCTCTATGACAAAGAAATAAAAGCCATCTGAGGGTGCGCTGTGCACCTGTAGTTCCAGCTACTTGGGAGGCTGCAGTGGGAGGATGCTTGAGCCCAGGAGGCAGAGGTGCAGTGACCTGAGATCACACCACTGTATTCTAGCCTGAGTGACAGAGTGAGACCCTGTCAACAAAAAAGACGGACAAATGCAGATTCTTGGAAAGAAACACGTAGTAGGGACTTCACCTACACACAGAAGCCAAGTCTGCGTCCCAGTGGCCATGAGACGAGGTGCTGGGTCCCTGCACCGTCAGTCCAGACCCAGGGCCGACGCAGCGCCGAGGCGGGTGGCTCAGCAGGGAGGTGCAGGTCATTGACTGCAATGACATCGAGGTTGTGTGAGGGCAGGTGTACAGTGAGCACTTGCTGGTACACAAACAATTGATAAACTGGAAGTCTTAGAGGCCTTCCCGGAACACGGCTTAGTCGGAAGCATGGCGGGTTAGCATCTAGCATGGAGCTGATTCAGCCTCCACAGGTGTGTGCATTCATACAGATGGCACACAGAAACGTGCAGGGTACCTGTGCGTGCACTTGGACACGCAGGTACATGCACACGTGCATCCGTGTGTGTATACCTGTGCCCACAGAGAAACCCATGCCCGTGGCTTCATGCACACGCACACCTCTGTACATGTGCACTGCCGTGCCCACGCCCACACCCCTGGGCACCGTCTTGTTAGGTGGCCTGTCCTCTGATGTGTCCGCTGTCCCCCAGGTTCCATGCATGTCCCATGCCCACACCCCTGGGTACTGTCTCATCAGGAGGCCTGTCTGCCTCTCCTCTGATGCTGTCCGCGCCCCTCAGGTTCCACATGTGTGCCATGCCCACACCCTGGGCACTGACTTGGTAGAAGGCCTGCCCTCTGATGTTGTCCACCATCCCGCAGGTTCCATGCATGCGTGCTTCAGCTCCCATTTCAGCAGCAAGTGTGGAAGAACCCGGCGTTTTTCCTGCGTGTTATCTCTGACATGGGCTCCCTCTGCTACTCCATTCTGAAAGCCAAGAACGCAGGTATGCTGTGTCCAGTCTCCATGGCAGCAGGGCCTGCCTGCTGCTGTCGGCGTGTCAGGAGACATGAGTGAATCAGGCTTAGGAAATTCTCACCCCTTTTCACATTGGGAAGCGGTTTAGCCGCCGGCAGGCCCGTCTCTGGCCCTCTCATGGGATGGGCAGAGCACCAGATGGAAGGGATGGGAGCTGCTGTCCTTCGCACCTCACTCTGCCTGGGGAAGTCCCGGGGGGCCTGGCCCCTCCTATTTCCTCTGTGGTGGGATTTGGAGGGCCTGGTCTCTCCTGTTTTCCTCATGATGGGACTCGGGGGTCCTGGCCCCTCCTGTTTGCCCCGTGGTGGGATTCAGCAGGCCTGGCCTCTTCTCTCTGCCCCATGATGGGATTCGGGGGACTGGCCTCTTTGCCCCTTGGTGGGATTTGGGGGGCCTGGCCCCTCCTGTTTGCCCCGTGGTGGGATTAGGTGGACTGGCGTCTCTGCCTCGTGGTGGGATTTGGGGGGCCTGGCCCCTCTGTTTGCCCCGTGTTAGGATTGGGCTGCCTCCTGTCTGTGGCGCTTAGGGCCCCTGTGCAAACCCAGGCCGAGGGCTTAGGAAGAGGCCAGGCCCAGGCCCCCCACCCGTCTCAGGAGCAGAGGCCGAGTACAGCCATCACGGAGCTGCAGGCCCCCCTCTGCCCCCGGACACTTTGTCTAGTGTCAGGGAGGTTTCTGATCCATCTGAAATTCAGGCCACGTCAAACCTGCGGTCCTGAGTTTGACAGCTTCTACTTGCTGTTATTTCTGTCTTGTGGACATTTCACTTGGAGAAACTGAAGAAACATTTCAGCTGTGACTCCCGCGACACTTGGGCCAGGGCGGCTGGCGATGGAGCCACCCGCGCCCCCCAGACCGTCGGGATGGGCAGCATTTCGGTGTCTCCCAGGAGGGGAGCTGGGCTGGGCCTGTGGACACCTCGGCCTCTGTTTGCCCTCCAGGGACATCACTGGGGGCCAAGGGCGCCGCCGGCCTGCTGCCCTCCGAGGCTGTGCACTGGCTGTGCCGCCAAGCCTTCCTGCTCAAGCTGAGTCGACACCGCGTCACCTACGCGCCGCTCCTGGGGTCGCTCAGGACAGGCAAGTGTGGGTGAGGCCAGTGCGGGCACCCCCAGGCTCATCCTCCAACGCTGCACGCAGCACGGGCAGCCTCGGATGCTGCTGAAGTGCAGGCGCCCCCGGGCCTGACCTTGGGGGCCTGGAGCCACGCTGGTGGTCCCATGTGACTAAATGCAGGTGTCCCCAGGCCTGGAGCTTGGCAGGGTCTGCGACTTCCCAAAACCCCTGCCTCCCATCTCTGGGGCGATGCCTTCCCACTCTTGGGAGCCTTCTGACCCCTGACCTGTGTCCTTTCACGGTCTCTGCCCTGGCTGCTGTCCTGATGCCCGCATGGGGTCCTGGGCTCCTCAGGTCTTTCTTACGTTCTCTCCTGCCCCACTGCTCCAGCTGCCTGGCAGTCTGCTTGCCCTGGTGGGGGGGGGTGTCCGTTCCTTCACTGGGGTTCCCACCAGCCAGGGCCACACGGCGCTGGGGCCCCGCCTGCCCGGCTGTCTGTATATCCCAGGAGGGCTGGGGGATGTCCCCTCTGGCCTCTCCCAGAACGGAGTCTGGCTTTGGCCCCGCAGCCCAGTCGCAGCTGAGTCGGAAGCTCCTGGGGACGACGCTGGCTGCCTTGGAGGCTGTAGCCAGCCCAGCGCTGCCCTCCGACTTCAAGACTATCCTGGACTGATGGCCGCCCACCCACAGCAGGGCCGAGGGAGGGCACCGGCAGCCCTGTCACGCCAGCCTCTACGTCTGAGGGAGGGAGGGGCAGCCCATCCCCAGGCCAACGCCGCTGGGCCAGCCCCTCAGGTCCCTGGGTGTGCGATGCAAGGGCGGCGCCAAAGTGCTCCTTCCTGTGTGGGGGGTCCCCTCCCTGGTGCCTCCAGGAGCAGAGCCTGCCCACCGAGACCCTCTCATTACTGGTGGGGGTGGTCCATCCTTCAGCTGCGTCCTCTCAGGGGAGGCAGGCTGCAGAAGCAGGTGGTGGGTGCTGAGCCTGTCTGCACACAGCCTGAGGTCCATCCTGGTCCGGGGGCCTTTCTCATGTCCCCAAAACAGGGGCCCTTGGGAGGCCCTCAGCCCTCTGCACCCAGCCAGGCTGCAGCAGCCGGGAGCCTCTGGACCCGGGGTGCTGTCCTGGGTGAGGCACCCTCCTGCTGACCCGCAGCCGGCATCACCCAAAGTCCGCTCCTGACAGGGCTTTCCCTGAAAGCAAGTGGCCGAGTCAGGCGGTTAAGGCCTTGTCCTTGCGTGCCCTGCGCCACCCCTGTGTCCCCATGCTGGCCCCGAGCCCTGAGCATCTGGCTGAGGCCTGAGTGTCCAGTGTACCCGCTGTCCTCACCCACCTGAGGCTGTGAGGCTGGTACTTGTCTCCACCCCAGGGCCAGCTCCTCCTCTCCGGGGGCCTGGCTTCCGCTCCCCACACAAACAGTCCCTCACCCTGACCTCTGACCTCCACCCCGCCATCCAGGTGGAGACCCTGAGAAGGACCCTGGGAGCTCTGGGAATTCGGGTGACCAAGGGTGTACCCTGCACCTGGACGGGGGCCCCTGTGGGTCACACTGGGGGGCTGTGGGAGTAAAATACTGAATATATGATTTTTTTCAGTTTTAAAGAAAGTCTAATGTTTGAATCCTAATGTGCACTGCATAGACACCATTGTATGTGTTTACAGAAGCGTCTGTGTGAATGGGGTGATGGTTAGTGCAGACCCATGGCCTGGCTGGGCCTGGGAGGTTTCTGATGCTGTGAGGCAGGAGGGGAAGGAGGGTGGGGGGTAGAAAGTGGAGTCCTCACCCTGGAAGAGGGAGCAGTAAGTCCAGGCCCAAAGGGCAGCAGGGATGACAGGGGCCCCAGTCGGGGCAGCAGGGATCGTGGGGGCCCAGTTAGGGGGTTGTGGGGGATGATGGAGAAGCCTAGCTGGGCACCCTCCTCCCCTGCCAGCCTGCAGCCGTGGCTCCGGACATGCTTCCCTGGGGCACACCCTCTGGGCCATCAGCATTCAAGGAGGCAGGGGCATGATGTCATCCTTTATAAAATCCAAGCTTCCTCCTCCTGAGCCCCCCAACTCAGGTTGAGAGTCACATTCCCCCTCTGGCCGTTCTCTTCAGAGTGGACCAGGTGACTCTGTCTCTGAAGGGCTGGTAGTGGGGCAGTGGAGGGTGTGGACCTGAGGCTTCCAGGTGGGGCTGGTGATGAGCCCTCGTCCTCTGCCTGCCAGACTTCTTATCTCCCCGGGCGGGTGCCAGGCACGCAGTGGTGCTGGACACATGTCCTTCAGCAGACAGAAGGAACTGGAAGGATTGCGGAGAACGGGAGGGGCGGTTCAGAGGGATATGGCCTGGGGGTGAAGAAACAGCCTGTCTTAAGAAGTCAGCTTGGGCTACCTGACACGAAGGCCCTGTGTAAGCGACTCTGGAGCCTTCCAGCAGGTCCGGGTGGGGCCTTACTGTATGGCAGGGGCCTTCTGAGTGCACCTTGGTCAGGGCTTCTGGTGTGAGCGCAGCCCAGACGTGCCTGGTGTCGGGGTGGGGGCTTATGGCCGCTGGATATGGCTTTGTTTATTATGGCTGCTTCGGGGAATGTCCGTGACCAAGCCTAATGTGTTTATGGTAGGCCCAAGTCCACGGAGCGTGTCGTAAATGCACACTGGCGCCCGGAGCCCCTGAATAGGAGCCTGAGGAAGGAGGGGCCCTTGGCAGCCAGCCTGGCGGCGCCTTTGCCCAGCAAACTGGAAGGGAGTGGCCCCGGGCCCTGTGGGCTGCCGACCTCAGTGGGAGGTTGGCTGGAACAGGTCGGGGCCTCCCGGGAGCAGAGGCTGCTGCTCCACACACCTGGGCTTGAATCACAGCCTGCAGGTGAGGACTCAGCTCTCAGTCCTCTATGAAGCTCCACGATCCCATTCTCCAGGTGCTTTTTGTTGACATTTCCCTCAGGATCACATGTATTTTTGCTAAAGTATTGGACTCTTGAAAAAGGTATTTGCTTTGCTATGGTTTAACTCACTAAGCACCCACTTTTTGACTTGTCTCTTATTATTAGAGATGGATCCACTCTGTCGCGCAGGGTGTGGTGCAGTGGCTGCAGCCACAAACTCCCAGGCTCAAGTGACCTTCCCGCCTCAGCTTCCCAAAGCACTGGGGTTACAGGTGCGAGCCACGGCCCTTGCCTGGCACTTTTAAAAACCACCGTGTGGGCTGGGCGCAGTGGCTTATGCCTGTAATCCCAGCTCTTTGGGAGGCCGAGTTGGGCAGATTGCCTGATTTCAGGAGTTCAAGACCAGCCTGGGCAACACGGTGAAACCCCGTCTCTACTAAAATACAAAAAATTAGCCGAGCGTGGCGGCATGCGCCTGTAGTCCTAGCTACTCGGGAGGCTGAGGCAGGAGCATTGCAAGAGCCTGGGAGGCAGAGGTTACAGTGAGCCAAGATTGTGCCACTGCACTCCAGCCTGGGCAACAGAGCGAGACTCCATCTCAAAAACACAAACAAAAAACACCATGTAAGGTCGGGCATAGGGGCTTGATGACACCTGTCATCCCAGTGGTTTGGAAAACCGAGGCAGAAGGATTGTCTGAAGCCAGGAGTTTGAGACCAGCATGGGTAACTTCGGGAGACCCCATCTCTACAAAAAATTAGCCCAACGTGGTGCCCAGCTGCTTGGGAGGCTGAGGTGGGAGGATCACTTGAGCCCAGGGGTTGTGCCTGCACTGAGCTGCGATTGTGCCATTTCACTCCAGCCTAGGCCACAGAGCGAGACCCTGTCTAAAAAAAAAAAGAGAGAAAGAAGCTCGCTGTGTAGGCTGTCAAATGTCAGGGCAAAAAGAAAAGACAAAGCCCAGCTCTTCCAATTTCCTTAGACCTGAACTTCGTCTAAAGCAGCTTCCTTCCAGGTGCCTTCCACAGACAAGCATGTATGGAGCAAGGGATTCAAAACAGGAAGGGAGGAGAAGCAGGCAGGGTGGGGGCTGTGGGTGACGCCAGCCAGGCCCCCAAAAGGGAGTGGTGTTTTCCTGCGCCAGCCCCACGCTCCTGCCAGTCCTGCACCCGCCGCCGTTACCCTCCGTGTGGTTGGTGCCAGGTGCACGCCTGGGAAGGGTGCTGTGGTGCAGGGCGCTTCCCTAACCTTGGTGGGCTTCAGAAGCCCCGGGCACTTAGGCAGAATAACTGCCCCTCCCCAAAGATGCCCAGGTCCTTCTCCTGGGACCTGTGAATGTGCCATCTGCGTGGTTGCAAGTGGGATTACGGCAGCCAGTCATCCAGTCTTAAGGTCATCCTGGATTATCTGGTGGGCCTGATAGGACCACAGGGGTCCCTAGAGGTGGAAGAGGGAAGCAGGGGAGAGTCGGAGATGGGACGTGAGGAAGACCACTGGCCACTGCCGGCTTTGAGATGGAGTAAGGGGCCCCAGCCAAGGAATGGGGGTGGCCGCTCCAAGCTGGAAAAGCAGCCAATCTTCCCCCATCCTGAGAGCACACAGCCTTGCCAACCAACGCCTTGATTTCAGGGCAGTGGGACCCATTTCAGCCTTCCAGCCTCCAGAGCTGTAAGATAATGTGTTTGTGTTAAGCTGCTAAGCTCCAGTGATTTGTTCGGCAGCAAATGGAGCACCAGTGCAGGGAAATGATGACAGGGACGGTTCTCAGAATGAGATCCTCAGCCCACCCCTGGGCATCATGTGGGACAGCTCAGGTGGAGCTGCCACTGAGAGGGAGAGGAACGGAGAGAGCTGGGCTTCCTGCCTTCCTACATGCTGGCCACCTGGGCTCATGATGAAATACGCGTGCTGGGGCAGCGGAGCTCCTGTGCCTGTCCAGCTCCAGTGGCCGAGGCTGCTGCTGGGGCCCTCACACTAACGGGCGGGGATGGAGCCTCTTCACCCTGGCTCCAGGTTTGACCAGGGCCCCATGCAAGTGCAGGTCACCCAGGTTTGTGGAGCCTGGCGTTGGGGTTTGCTGTGGCCTGCAGGAGGGTCGGACTGGTCTCCACAGTGCCATCCGGATGCACATATTCCATCGTCCGTTCTCTGTAGCCCTGGAGGGCGAGTATCGGGATGGGCCTGGGCCTCACCTTCTCAGCCTCAGGCGGGCATGAAAGAACCAAGCCTTGCGGGAGGGGAGCTGGCTGGCTTTCTCCTCTCTGACATGGCATGAAGCCCTGGACTTGCCACCTGGAGTTCAGCGTCCCCAGCCCCCAGCGTGGACAGGAGATTCACGCTCCCTGGCAATGGTAGTGGGGTTCTCTGTCCTGTCCCAGGCCCACCCTTGGTGGGAGGGGTTGCTTCCCTTGGAGCAGGGCGGGCAAGTCCTGGGGCAGCTCCAGTGCAGACTGCGCCCGCTGTGACCTGCCGCCTCACGGCTCCTTCTGTGCTTACGTCCTTCACACGTTCTTCCCTGGTTCTTGTTGACCCCAGACTCTCCCCTGTGAATGAGTCCCATCAGGCTTTTGTCAACTGGGCCTGAACCTTCTTTTCCCATCAAATGCTCCCTGACTGGGTGCCTGGCAAAGCAGCCCTGGGTTCACCCTCTGCCAGGAGCCAGCTCACCGGACAGCCTGCCCTCACATGCCTGCCACGGTCACAGGGGCTGTGACCATCTCTGGGGTTGGCTGGCCTCATTTGCAGCCATTTATTTCCAATTCAACACAGCTGCCCCTGAGAAGGGGAGTGCTCCTATGGGGTGGCAGGTCCTCCATTCCAGGAACTTCTGGTCGGGTAATAGGAGCATTTTGTTCCTGTCCCGACACTGGTGTCTGAGAGACTGCCCCTGGGATGTTTTTCCCAAGGGTGAGGGACAAGTTGAAGGTGCCATGGGCGGGTGGTGGCCACAGAGGGTTAGCCCATCCAGCTCTGCTTTCACCACATGACCCTTGTCACCCCACCCATGTGGTGCTCAGGTCCCTCCCCAGCCCATGAGGCCTGAGCCCCTGGCCCTGAACAACCTTGGCAGTGTGATGGGGCAGATGCCGCCCTGCCTCCCTTTGGGGCATCCATGTGTCTACTCACTATCCACCTATGGGCCACCTCTGTCTCTCCTCCTTTTTACCCATTCTTATCCATGGCTGCCTCAAGCACTGGGCAGAGTGGCATTTTCTGGAGGGCTGAGGGTCCACTGTGTCCTCTGTCCCAGCCCCCCACCCCTTCCCTTTTCAGCAGCTGGACAAGGACTCCAAAGCTTCAGGGAGGGGCTGCAGGTGCTGCTGCTTCCAGCTCCCCCTACACAGAGTGCTGTGCAGAGCCCTGGTCCCTGTTAGGATGTGCTACACCCAAAAGTCTGATCTGGTATGGGAGCAGAGGGCAGCGGCCCCCACCCTGGTTATCTTCTAAGTGTGATAATGATGCAAAATGTGCCCTTGGACAATTCAGCGTGGCTTGTCTGCACCCCTGCTGCCACAGCTGCCTGCGTTTTTTGTCCAGCGTCAGTGGCAGGACTTGCAGGCCCTGTGGTGTGTTGGGGATGGCGTCCTGAGAGCTGCCTCTGGGGACAGACGCCTTTTGGCAGCTGCCTGGGAGACGCGCCTTCAGCAGCACCTCTGCGGACACGCGCCTTTTGGCTACTCCTTGGGGAACACGCCCCTTTTGGCAGCGCTGGTTTCTGAAC